TTGCTTCGTAATTAAATTGGGTGTGTCACTTTTTTTGTTCATTCCATTCGTAGAAGAAGATAGACAGTTTTTCTATTAAAAAAAAAAAAAAAAAAGAAAAATAAAAAAGAAGAAATAAAAAACTTCGGAGAATGGACGCAGGATTTTTTTTGATTATCCTTACTTCCAACGTCGAGAGAGAACTTCAACTACGAACAAAACAAAAAGAAAAAAGATAGAAGAGTAAAAACAAGAAAAAAAAAAGAAAGAAGAAAAAGGAAGAAGAATCATTACTAAAAAGAAACGTCCTATTCTGATTCGCCTACGCTAAAATAGAAAGTATAAGTATATATATATATATATATCCTACGTATTTGCAAATGAAGATTCGAAATCTAAATAAAACCGTGAGTGTTGAGTGAATGAGTGAATGAGAGTTTGTGCTGATTTTTATCCGTGGGAGGAATAATATCTATGACGAAGTCAGGAAATGGTACGAGAGAAACGCGACTGTTCATTTTTCCTGTCACGTGTGTGTGTGTGTGTACGTGTATATATGTTAACATTAAAATGTTACCAACTATATATATATATATATATAATCATTTGATTGCACAAACATAAAGAAAGAATAAAAATATTAGATTGTGAAGAAAATTCGTGCCGATTTCGTTGGATGATTGAAACACAACCGCAACGCATTTAAGTTGTTGTTTTTTTATTTTTATTTTTTTTATTTGGTATATTATTTATTAAATAATAATACATAAGTGTCATTCTTTTGTACAATCTTGTAACCATCTTTAAGGGATAACTTTAAAATTTCACTCTTCCACAACTTCTCAGGTTTTTTTTTTTTTTAGTAAAACAAATTTTATATTACTTACCAAAAATCGTCACAAACTTTCCGAACAATCCAATCATTTTCTAGGCTTACCAAACAACCAATCATTTTCTAAGCTTTTAAGATAATATTTTTGTCTTTCTATTTTTGTATTTTTTGTTTTTTTCTTTTACTAAATCACATGGCATGTGTGCTTTTGAAAGTATAATTTTAAATACATAATTATTACATATATTTATTATCATTTGATTGCACAAACATAAAAAAAAAAAGAATAGAAAAATAATATCCGAACAACCAATCATTTTCTAGGCTTTTAAGATAATTTATAATTTCTATTTTTGTATTTCTTTTTTTTTTTTTCTTTCCTCTTTTACTAAACCACATGGCATGTGTGCTTTTGAAACAAATCGATTCTCAAAACTCTCTAACTGTTATCTCTCATTGGCAATGAAACATGAAACAAGTATAAGTGTACTTTAGATCATGTATTCGAATACATGCACACATACACACAAATTGCCTTTCAAAAAGGCCTTTAATCTTTTACGGCTGACCGTTCGAAGGAATATTTTAGGTATACGTTCGCTTATCGCAAAAATCATGTCTACCTTTTTGTTAAAAGGGTGATCCTTAAAGCGTCAGCACTGCGTCTCTTGGTAAAACAAGGTTAAAGGCATTCGACTGCAGCAGTGCCGTATCGATTGTAGTAAAAGAGAAATAAAATGAGAGAGTGAGTGAGAAAGAGAGAGAGAGAGAGAGAGAGAGGGGTATAAAGGGGAAGGGGATAAGGGGTGGGGGAAAGGGGGTGGAAGAAAGCTGACGAGGGTAGTATCACATCTCAATAACTACTTGAAATCACCTTTGCTAAAAGGTTACATCTTTCATGACCGATTTCTCTAATTTTGTTGTTTCAGGGTGAAGGACCAACCGTGTGGATCGAGTCATGACGAAATATTGGTTCAATGTCATTATTTTCAGGGTTATCCTTCCGGCCATATTAGCAGGATGTAAGTTAATTATTTAAAACTTGTGTGTATTTAGTTAGCTTGTTAATTAATCAAATATTTTCATTAAAATAGAATAGAAAAGAAGAATTGGGATTGTACGTTAGATTTCATTTCCAATTGAAAAATTTATATATATATATATATAACAATAATAATATATATAAAATATATAATATTTTAAGATATAATAAATATATATATATATATATGTTTTAATTACGTATATGTGAAATTCCTAATTTAAAACTCTAATATTATAAATATATATATTATAATATTATAATTTATAATATATATATATAATTTATTATATTTTTATTAATATAATAATATATTTATTATATTATTAATAATATAATTTATAATAATATATTTTATAAATTATAATATATATAATATTTAATATATATATTATAATATATTATAATAGTATTAATATATTTAATATTATTAATAAATAAATTATAATATATTTTATTTTTTAATATTATATATATTATATTATTTTATAACATAAATGCAAAATTTTTAACTATTATCAAACTACAGAAGAAGAAATCGAAAAACGTGGTGTTATATATATATGTATATAGGAATAGTGCAATGATTTGGATTATTCGAACAAAGATAGATAGATAGGAGAGGCACGTTCGATGACATCATGTTATAGGAATGGATTTTATGATAGACTAATGACCTTAGATCGTGCGAACTTTTAGCTCTTTGTATAGGTGTTTCTTTTTCTTTTTATTTTACTTTTATTTTTACTTTTACTTTTTTTTTTTTTTTTTTATCTATGCTAACGTCATAATCGAAAATAGAAATTCCAAGTAAATTCTGTAATATCGAAAATAAAACGTAGTTTTGCATTGTATAATACAATTATTGATTATCATTTTGAGATTTTGGAAATGTAGTTTTGTTATTTTGTTATTTTTTTATTTTGAACATCATTTTTAGCAATCTCTGTCGCGACATTTTTGAACAGTTATAACCAACTTTAAGTGTTACCTAAAATTAGATGACCTAAGTTTTCGTTTCCGTATATCGCAGCTCGTAGACGTTGTCACGACACTCGTTGTTCTTCGGTTTCCTCTTCTGTATGTTTGATAATACTCAAGAATTTTACATATACTTTATAAAAAAAAAATATATATATATATATATATTTAACTAGCATGATCAAATAAGTTAGCAGTAAATTTAAGATAACAAATATAATAAAGCTTGGAATTTATCTGTCATATAAAAATTATGGTTTTTATCCTAAGTTAAAAAAGAAAAAGTCAAATAAAAAAAATAAAAAAAAAGAAAAAAAAACGTGAAATGACAAAAATCTCTGGAGTATACGGGTGACCTCATTTTACGCACGAGTTTCGTGATCTTTCTTTCATCAAAGGTCTGCTTTGACCTTTAACTTTGTCGGCAAGATAAATTATTATACTAAGTAGTCGTGAAATTAAACTTGTTATTATTAACTTCTTTTATTTTTTATTCTTTTTATTTTCTTATTACTTACTAAAAATCTATTTATACATATTTCTTTTTTCTTTATGTATTAATGTGTATAAAATTTGTTAGAAATTAATAAAAATTAATTGAAATTAATGGAAATTAAATTAAATTAAATAATTTAATGATAAATCAATGTATTATTTAAATTTATTTATTTAAAATAAATATAATGTTTAATAATTTAAATAATAAATTCATTTGTTATTATTAAAATACGATAGATAAATTAATTGAAATTAATTAAATTTAATTAAATTTAATTAAATAATTTAATTTTAAAATTAATATAATGTGTAATAATTTAAATAATAAATTCATTTGTTATTATTAAAATACGATAGATAAATTAATTGAAATTAATTAAATTAAATTAAATTAAATTAAATTAAATAATTTAATTTTAAAATAAATATAATGTGTAACAATTTAAATAATAAATTCATCTGTTATAAATAAAATACGATAAATTAATTGAAATATAATAAAATTAAATAATTTAATAATAAATTTATTTGTTATGAATAAAATACGATGTAACGTAAACGCACATTAAAGTATCGAATATCGAAATCTAACGAGATGTATAATTCGATATAATAGTGCACTGTCCGAATTATTCCTAGTCACAAATAGTTGGCACATGTTACAATAGCCATTATCACTAGACACGTGTGTCTATGTATCACACATTTTTTCTTTTTTTTTTTTATAAACCACAATTTAAGCAATCAATCTATACCTAATAATATTTTAGTAATGGTTTATATTTCGAGATATTCTAAGTTTGTATTCTGGTTATAAGCATGACAAGTTATCTTTCACGCTTCGTCATACTAATTAGTATTCTATATCTAAACTCTTTACTCGCAAGGCTTATGTTAATCATATGCATATATTCATTCTTATAATTTTTTCCAATGTATCAAACAATAGTACTTGTGTTTAACTAAGCCATTTTTTTAATTAAATAAAAAGTGATTTTAAAATTGTTTAATTACTAAGAACATATTTCATAAACTAGTATATACAATAGTGTATAGAAATAAGATGATTCATTTTAATGATTCGTGACATCATCAGCTAATCAGCTAATCATGATTATAATAAAGGTACAATATGGCGGCCGGAATAAAAATGATTTAAAAATTAATTACTAAGATCATATCTTAGAAAATAGCATATACAATAGTGTATAGAAATAAGTTAATTAATTCTAGTGATTGGTGATATAATCAGCTAATCAAAGTTTAAATAATTATAGTAAAATTACAATATGGCGGCCGGAATAAAAATAATTTAAAAATGATTTAATTACTAAGATCATATCTTATAAAATAGTATATAAAGTAGCATATACAATAGTGTATAGAAATAAGATAATTAATTTTAGTGATTGGTGATATTATCAGCTAATCAAAGTTGAAATGATTATATTAAAGGTACAATATGGCGGCCGGTAGGACTATCCCTAGTATATTTGGGACTGGCATTATATTCGCCGATAGTTCCAACACCCACAAACAAAACGATGTCTGGTCATACCGGACTTTACTTAAAGGCAACCATCTGTTTGTGCTTCCTAGTTGCCATAACTCAGCTTACGTTTCACATAGTTTTATTAGCAATGCCACCATACGGCTATTTTCTTCAAGACTGTACGTATGACACGTAAGACAATTAAATAATATTCTAAATAGGCTCTATCAAAAAATGAAAATAAATAAAATGGAAACAAAAAAAATAAATATACATTAACAGGTCAATTTATGGAAGAATTGTTCAGACACATAGGTTTAGTAAAACTAGATAACGCATCGGTATGGGAAGTGTTTTATTGGCTAACACCAGAATTAATATTATTACCGATAACTATAGTTATATACGTAATGTGTCGTTTCTTAACGCAAAATAAACAAAACAATGGTGAGGAGGACGTATCCATTCAAAGAACTAATGATTCTGCCAAAAAACCAGAAGACAGGACTACAAAGGTAATTTCTAATTTGCTTTATAACGTTCGCTACACACCATGTGTCTCATGTGTGACGCATTAGTTTGTTTCAAGAATTCACCTTCACATATATGTGACTTTACTGTCTGGTTATTATTATTTAATGTATCATATATATGTGACGTATAGATTATAAAATGTATTATATATGTGTATAGTTCAATGTTATATATTTATATATAATATAATATCATTATTGATATTTAGGTAGAATACCTAATACCTTTTTTGATTTATTTAATTAAAAAAAAAAAAAAATAAAATTTATTAAGCCAATCAATTTTGGCTTATAAATTAATTATATTGTATATATTTATATATAACATAATATTATTAAAATACCTAATACCTTTTTTTTTTAGTTTATTTAATGAAAAAAATAAAATTCATTAAGCCAATAAATTAGCTGATAAATTAATTAATTGGCTTAATTAATTATCAAATATAATTGATATTTATATAATATAATATTTACATAACATATATATATATATATCATCTTAGGAATGATTTTGTTAACTAACCATAAGACCATGGGTAGCGAACGTGTTAATAAAGCTCTCTCTCTTTCTCTCTCTCTCTCTTTCATAACGAAATTGTAAATAATTGAAATTCATTATACAGATAATCAACTTTCTTGGTCGTATCGGCACGTACGTAGTTCTTGCATCCTTGTGCTGTACGGCATCCTTAAAACCATCGATTGAAGGAGCATTTTACTTTTTGGTATTTCTTGGTGCTGCCACATGGTGGGCTTGCAATAAAGAATTAAGAAAAGGTTTTGCAATTTTATGCAAAATCGTTATGATCGTAGTGATCGTTCATATTGTAGCATTACTCAGTTATCAAAATCAATGGCCTCAAGAACTCATACCGGTTAATAGCACGTGGTCTCGTTATTTTGCTCTCACTGCTATTTATCGTACTAATTGTACACGACCAAATTATGTGGAGTATGCAGACGATACCGATTGGCTACCTTACGGATACGCATTGAGATTATTCTGGCTCTACTATGTTTTGGCTCTTCAATCACAATTTCTCAGTAAAAAACCAGTAAGTCATGTAACTATTACAAATAAATAAAACAAATATTGTGCCAACAGGTTTTGATACAAAATTAAGATTTCATTAAATACAAATGAAAATGTCATTTAATCATTTTCTATCAATTTTGATTTATTATATTAAATATTATATTATAGGTATTTTTACATTATGAAAAATTGGGTTTGATTTTATAATAAAAATGTCTCTATAGTTCGATATTATCATTAATTTTGAAACAAAACCTAAAGGCTTTGATATCATTTAATATATTTCTTTCAAAGGTTTAAGTATACTTATATTTATATATATATATATCTATAATCACAACGTAATAATAAAATGAGAAGTGTATAAAAATTGTTAAATAACACATTACATGCTTGAGCAATTTCAACTAACATAATAACAAAATCTAGCGAAGAGATGCATTTAACGAATTCAGTTAACATCGAATGTTTGGGCGTTCTTTATTAACTTTCACGAACACACTGGATATGTTGTTTCAAATTTCTATAATATATTATAATATATTAATTGTCTAGTTGCATCGGACATATTTTAATAATCTCTATTATGAATAAAACTAAACAAAACAAAAATAATGTAATTGTATAGAAATTTGTTTTGTTATAACACATTATCATGGTGTTATGTTAAAAAAAAAAAAAATCAAAACAAAAAATATTACGATAACTTATTAAAATAATATAAGTCAACATTAATAATCATTTGAACAAAAAAAAAAATAAGAAACCATGATCCATTCAATAACAACAACCAACAACAGATAAAATGAACACACAAGTCAGCGCGTAGTAACAATTATTATCTATCGTGTTTGTTTCCACCACTTGTTTAACCGATAAGTAGCTTTTACTAACGAAGCTTTGCAGGCAAAGAAAGTGGCACGATTAAGCGGTAAGCTCGAGAACTTGGACACGCCATTGTCCAGACATGTTTCGATCCGACGAAGAACACCGTCCCAAAGATGGCAATCCGCACGACGGAAGGCTCGCGTAAGGAATTTTCCTGCATGAGCCTTACAAAGCTATTTTATCATTCAAAATATCTCTCTACGTGTTCAATATAATATCTGAATGTGTAGCATGATTGTGTTGAATTGATTGATTTATATTTTTCTTTTTGAAAAAAAAAAAAAGAAAAAAAGAAGATGAAAAAGAAAAGGACAAGGATGTTTCTTACGATTTTATTTTTTTTAGATTTTGCTTCGCGAAAAAAAAAAAGAAAAGAAAATACCTTGTAATTATTATTTGTATTCTTTTAATTTATTATTATTATTATTATTTATGATTTTGCTTGTGTAATACGCAAATACACACACACACACAGAGTTATTTTTTGTTTTTAATCCAGCTAAAGAGACCGACAGCATTTTGCGTAAATATTGTATATACACGATGCAGTATGTTTTTTTTTATCATTTTTTTCTTTTTTTATATATTTAAATGATCGCTAGATTATTCGCTAAATGGTTTCGGTCTCTTTTTAAAAACATTTCGAATTTTGATTTGCTGTGGCCTTACAGATTTATGGTTGTTCCTTAACGCTGAGCAATACACTTTTCCGTTTGGATGCCGCTATGTTTAGTTTGCCATTGTTTTAGAGGCCGATCGTTGATACATCGATGATACTTCCCAACGAGAGGACACCCGTACGTATATCGTTCAAAATATGCACGAGTATTACAATAATTTATTTATTTTTTTTTTTTTTTAATTCTACCAATTCCTATATCGTTTACATAATGTACGTATACATATATAATATGTATATATGTGTTTGATAAACAAATTCTTGTTGCCCGATATTTTCTCTCTACGTATAATCGTTATTCTTATTAACATATTGGTGTACCTAAACACTTCGCTACACTATTTATACATGTGATGATTTTTGCACGCAAATATATTTAACCCAATAATAATTTTGCTTATCTACATACATTTAAAACGCAATTACAAATATATATCTATAAACAATATTTTGATTAGTATTGATAAAATTGATTGTTTACATTAACACATTCGCGATCGGCATATTTTTTCCCTTTTTTTTTTTAATACCGATTACTTACTGGCAAAAATAATAATGAATTATTTAAATATTTTATCGAAATAATTAAATATATAAATTTAATATATAGGTACAATTTATTTATATTAAATTTTTAAAATGTAAAATCACGTGAATTCACGTCAGAGTGGCAACTATGAATAGAACTTTGAAAAGACGTGAATACACGTCACCGGTCGCGAATGTGTTAATATATTGTATAGGTAAATAGAAAACTTATTATATATAATAATAAAATATATCAATTATGTTACGTTTGTTAGTTGATGCGTTTTGGATCTGGAAGAACAGGACTTCTGCAAGATTCTACCGGCAGCGTTATCATACAAGATGGCCATCAAGATGATAATATTCAATTACAAAATCTTGATGATGGTTCGTCATTTAATATTAAAATATATCACGCCTGAGTCATTCTATTATTATTTATAATAATAATAATAATAAATTGTACAGGTGTACCTGGAGATAGTCCTGGCATTTTGGAACATATCATTATGGCTGTCTACTCCATATTTCAATTGATCGTTAATTCATCTTATCTCGCTACCAATATTATCATGATGGTAAAGAAATAAAAATTGAATATTATAATATACATATAATATCAATTATTTGTAATTGATTTATTTAATGTTTTATTCTATTACTCAGACCTGGAGTATAATGTATCACAGTTGGACAACCTTTGCTCTTTTACTTTGGGCTTTGATTCTATGGATGGTATCTAATAAACGTGCTTCAATGATGAAATGTTCACCCTTCATCGTCTTTTATTCGACCCTTTTGTTACTTGGGCAATACGTTTACAGTATGGATTTGACTGAAGAAGAATTGCCAACTATGGTTAACGGTATAAAAATATCCGAAATAGGATTCAGTAAAGCACAAGAACTCAGCCGTTGGCATTTGATTGTTAAGGTAATTAAGAACAACAAAAAAAAGATTTATAATTTTCTTATAAGAAATAATATAGAGTAACATTTGATCCATTTAAATTGTAGTGTTCGTTCATGTTGATATTTTGGATTACAATGAGACAATATACAGCAGAATGGAAACAACAAAGACAATTGTCAACTTTGCGAGACATTGTCGCGCCTTTGCACGTCTCAGTTTCTACAGCTACAACAGCGATGAATCACGAAGTACCAGAAGTTAAAAGCAAATTTATGAAAGACGTTGGTATCATTTTAAAACAACTCTTGACAAAATTCTGGATCGCTGTTGTAGCCATTACGCTCTTCATTTGTGGTATTACCGGTGAACGAATGACAGTTTTCCGAATTATTTACATGTCCTTATTCCTTATCTTCGTAATTACATTTCAGGTGACTCAAATATTTTATATATCTTATATACATAAACATAGAGGGTATCTCAAAAGTTGCTTTATCGAGACAATCAAATCAATAAATTAATTGATGATCGGGTTTGTTTATTATTTATAAATTATTAATACAATTAAAATCTTGTATTTCTTAATAACAGTGTTATATTAAACAAATATAAGCCTATTTATGTCGCCAAAAATGACTGTCAATTCGATAAAATTACTTTTGAAACACTAATAGAAACATTGATTAGACATTGCGATAACACTTTGACTAAAGTAAGATTAAGTGAATAATTAATTTGTTAATTATCAGATGTCCTGGTCAATATGGAGAAAAATAATGTATACTTTTTGGATAACTGTAATTGGTTATTCCATAATCATGTTAATCCTTGTATACACCTATCAATTTCAAAATTTCCCGACATATTGGAATTATTTGGGTATAAACGAACAATTGTGAGTATTCGTATTTAATTACTACTTTATTATATAATTTATATTGTTCATTGTTATAATTATTATTTTTCTATAGACAAATGGACATTGGTTTAGAAATATATGAAACGAAGGATTTGTTTGTAAGATTATTGACACCAACATTTTTCGTTATCATCACGGTACTTCAGATGCACTATTTTCATAATGACTTTTTACAAGTAACAACTATCGAGAAACTCGGGTTTGTAATATATCTTCATTATTCATTTATTCCAAATCTTTTCAGCAAGAAAGTACGATATTTGGTATATTCATTTTAATAACAATTGATTAATTTTTTTTTTGTTTTAGACCAGAAAGTGCTTTTAGGCGAACAAGTCTCGGACATAGCCCGAGTTTGAACATTTCTATGACTTCACCTACAGATATTATTCTTGGAGAAGAGGAAACATCTAATATGTATACTTTGAAGCAACTCAAACGTAAGTTGATGTGTATATTCATTGATAAATAAAAGATAGAATACATTAAACACATTACCATACATTTTTACAGGAATGTCCAAATTGGAAAGAATTGAACTTATACGAAAGTTAATGAATCATTTAGTTCATTTTTACAATTATAGTTGGTTATTCCTTGAGATTCACATGCAAAAAATCATTTTTATTTCTTTAATTCTTTTATGTGTCAATGATGTGAGTTAGTTAAATTCATACAATGTATAATATATGCTCTTATATTATCTCATGTATAAAATATATATAATTGTTTTTATTTTCAGGTATGCGCAATAAATCTTCTTTTTGTTCTTGCTGTAGTAATTGTAATTAATTTCAATAGAAACATACAGATTATGTCGATCAACGTTATAGCTGCCGTCATTGCCCTATTAATGGTAACCAAAATGTTGTATCAAATCAAATATATTAATCATAATAATTGGAACGTAAATTGCACGGTAAGTAAATAATCAATAGTATCGAATGATTATTTGCTATATTTATTCTCGTAACAATATTGTTAAATTGTTGGAATTATTCGTTTTTAGAGAGGATTTAACGAAAGTTCAGAAAAATATGTTGGCAACGACACCATATATAACATCGCAGAATGGTTTGGTATTAAAAAAGGTGAACCAGGACATCTTGCAGAATTGTTGAAGGGATACATTGGTATTGTTACAGTAACGACCTTAAGAAAAATAATTCGAATTCGACAGTGGTTTTATCGAAGTGCTAAAGGAGAGTCTTTGGAAACTCCTCAAGTCATGTTTCCAAATATTGGCAGAATAGACGCGGACAGGGGTATACCAGAATGTTTGAAGTTCCTCTTTAATTATGGATTTTATAAATTCGGCCTTGAGATGTGCCTTATCGGAATTGTTACTCTTATTGGCATGAGACTCGACTTTTACTCCGTTCTTTATGGTTGTTGGCTTCTATTGTTCTTCCCATTGAAGAGAAAAACCGTTTCTAGGATATGGCCATTCTTTAAAACGTTTGCTATAGTATTATTGCCTATACAATATGCTTTGGTGGTAGCACCGCCTACATGGCTTTGCATAGGTAATATACTTTGAAAAACAATTGTTTTGTTATTCAATTGCGCTTATCGATTTAACATAGTATATTATTTTTATTTGTCCTGTGTTATATATATATATATAGAATATCCTTGGAGTCGTTCGGAAATGTTACAAAGATTGCAAGAATGGATGTATTTTCCAGATCCAGATTATCCACCAAATCCGAAAAAATTAATCTGTAAGTATTATACATTCGTATTGCAATAATTAAATGTAATTTAATAAAATGATTATCTTTACTTTTTATTGTTTAGGTGACTTTTTATTACTAATGATGATCGTTCGTCAGAGCCTTGTCTTCAGTATTGAACAAAGAAGCATAATATCCGGTCGAGACTTCATAGCGGGTCATAACTTCTCTGTTTTCCAGAACATGGATAATCCAAATTTTATGAATCCTGTTAAAGACTACGTTTCTCATATACACTCTTGGTTAGATGTATTTAAACGCGGCGTTATGATGAGTCTCATGTGGATCACACTTTCTATTATGTTCTTGGCTGGGACCAAAAGAACTAATTTGTTTTCTCTTGGTTATCTTATCGGTGCCTTTGTATTCTTATGGCAGGGTAGTGATTTCTATTTGAGACCAGTCAAAACAATACTTAAATGGTGGAATATGTTACTTGGTTATAACATCATTGTCATCTTTTCCAAATCTTTACTTCAAGGTGTTGGCTGTGTCTTGATACACGAGGTTAATATATTTTTTTTTATTATATCGTTTATTTGTTTTACTTTTCAATAATGATTTTCAAGAATCAAGTAATAACGGCGAAGAATTTTTTAGCTGGAAGGTTCTGCCTGCTGGCTAGTCCAATTACTGGGTATTGCCTGTCTTACAAAATTCCACAGCGCAACGAACGATATAGGAAACGTCGGAGAGATTTGTCAAGTACCTAGAGAAGATATTGGCATGGTTTGGGATGGATTATGTTTCGGATTTCTTTTGATGCAAAAACGTCTCTTTAAAAGTTATTATTTCTTCCACATCGTGGATGAAACAAAGGCAATGAGTATATTAGCATCGCGAGGAGCTGAACTTCTTGAAGAGTTGCATCAGAAACGCATAAGGATACAAGATAATGTGGAAAAGACTGTTCTACAGAAACTCAAACACAAGATGGACAAGATCAAAGCTAATCAGAGAAAAATTCAGGGACCGTCATATAGAGAACCTCAAACCCATAAAATAGGTAAGAGAATGTTTCTTTATTATAAACTACGATTATCCAAATTTAAATTCGTTCTAATAATAGGATCGATTAATTAGAATAATTAATTCGTTTGAATCTATATATCGAAAGGACGATACGACGTTAAAATTATATACAATATTATTATAAACTCGTTGTGTTAGGAAATGACACATTTCAGAAGAGGCAATAATCAAAATCAACTGTAATTCAGCTATAATTCAGCTATAATTCAGCTTGACAAGAAAAATAATATTAATTAGAAATCCCTTTGTGGTCGACCTTTCCGAAAACATTTCCGTGTAGTATTGAAGAATTAATTTCATTCCCTAGAACCTATATACATTTGTCCTATTCCATTTGAAGCCAATGCAGGTTTATTCTAGTGAGCCGAGCATGTGAAACGCACATTAAATTCGCACCTTAACCCAAAGTCTCTTTATTTAATGCAAACAAAAAGGGGAAGCACCTTTGGCGAGGTCTTCCAGCGTGAGTTCGTGCGTTTCATCGGGTCACACTCCACCTCAAGGTTATCAGACGCCGATTGACGAGGACAATGATGAACCACCTCCGTTGACGCCAAGAGCTGCGTCGCTCTTGCAAGCGCCAACACCGAATTCGGCCATCATGACAGTGAGCCTTGAGGCTTACCTCGAGCCCACTCGAATATCGTTCGGTTCTCCGCCGAGTAGCGAGCTGAATCCACGTGGGCCCTCACCTGACGAAACTTTCCCAGTCTTCTCTCCTCCGCCCTACGATCAACCTCTTCAAGATCGCTCGTTGACTTTTTCGACGAGACATCGACGACAATCCAGTTTCATCGGTCCACCCTGGATGAACGGACTGCAAACACCGAGGCAGTCCATTGTCTCAACCGCCTCTCGTTCCCCGCACTCTCATCACACATGTAACGACACTGCAGGAAACAACGTCCTCGTCGTCAGTCTGCTACGATGTCCTGTACATAAGCTTCCACGCTCTAGCACTTCTTAGTTCGTCTTATCCATCAGCACTACTATTTACTACCTCTAACCATTTCTTCTTCTCTACCTTATTTTTTACTTTCGTTGCCACGTGTACAAAAATAAGCGACTGTTAGGACAATGCGATCGGTAACAATTATCCGATGAAAAGAAACTGTACCTTTAGGAAACAAAATTGAACTCGGCCAATGGATAATATTCGATTTACTTTGACTTTTATTGAGTGTTAACTGTATAATAATTGCTGCATGAATTGTGATTTCGAAATGATTCATAGTGTGACAAATTATGTGGCATTTTTAGAAGTAGTATCATTTAGATCACTGTGATATCTTTATTTATTTGTTTATTTATTTATTTATTTACTTATTTATTTATCTATCTTCATCGTTATACAATTAAATACTTTGTTTTGTTCATCGTATTTCTTTTTCTTTTGTTAACGAACGAGATTTAAAATGATCACAAGGGTAGACCCCATGTCCAAAATTTTACATCACTTTTTTCATCTATTTTATTTTATCTGTGTTTTGTTAGATACTCTTTATCCAGGGACTCGGCCGTTGTACAGAGTTCGCGCTCCAAAGACCAACAGAGAGGGTAAATTAATAATTTTTACAGCTTAACTCTGGGCTTTATTTCCGGCTTAACCGATGTCCTTCTCTGATTTAACCACATTAAATTATTACAGGCAGTACTTGTATAACTTGTACATATAAAACAGCTTATCTAACTGATGTGTCGCTAATTTTATTGTCATTATCTTAATAATTAATTGTATTATTAATTCTGTACATTATATATGTTACTGTCTATGTAAGAATATTAACGAACAAAATATGAATAACTAAAATTAATTGTATCGTAAATTATACGTCAAAGCAAATCAGATACAATTTGAAAATATTACAAAAAGCTATGTAAATATGAAATTATTTATAAATGATATGATATGATTTTGAAATAATTATTATCAAAAGAATCATTGAAAAAGTTTATACAACAATTGAATAATTTCGACAAAATTGATCTGATTTAGCTGAAACTATGATGAGAGTAGCTTCCGTTATTATTTGCTTTAAATCTAGAAATTTAAGAAATATTCGTACTAAATGCATGGCTTTAATTTCTTTTAAGCTAGTATCAAGTAGTAGTAGTATAACGTTAATAACATTTATATTTTTCTAATTAGCCATCAGGTCAGGTGACTACTACATGTTCGATGACTTGGACGACGACGATGTAACCGATATTGTAGCTGATGCTGAAGCAGAAAGAAAGGAAGATGAAAATCGTCGTGAACGTGAAATAACTGATAGAAGAATGACAGTAGCTGAGGTATATTATTTGAATTAGTTTCAACTATAATATGGATTGAAGAAAGATTTTACTAATTTCTTTTTTTTTTTTTTTTTCCCCATCCACTTTTGTTTATCCGTCCAAAAGATTACGACGATCTGCTGAAAGACCCTCATAGAAATGAAATATAATTATTCTATCGGTTGAGCTTTTTTTTTTTGACCATATAAGAAAAGAAAAGAAAAATCCAAAAAAAAAAAGAGATTAAATTTTGTAATAACATTTAAGGAAAACGTTCAGCAAAGTCGTAGCTTGAATATTTGCGTTTTTACCCTTGCCCAATTGCGTAACTACATACACACATATACGCATACGTTTCATGTTTTTCCCCCGATTTGATTTTCTCATTTTCTCCCCTACATATGCCTGATAATCTTAAAACAAAAAAACAAAAAAAAATGATCAAATACATCCCTATACAATAGTTAAAAGTATATGCTCTTCTTCTTTTTTTCACTTTGAGCTTATTCTTGGGGAAAGAAAGAGAGAAAGGAAAAAAGAAAATTCTAAAAAATAAAAAAAAATTATGATGATGATGATGATGATGATGATGATGAAAAAGAAACAAAAAAACAAACAAAGAGAGAGAGAGAGGGAAAGAAAATGACGCGTAAGTGTGATGTCCTTGCAGCTGATGGATACGCTGATTAAGACAGACATTGAGATAGCGACCCACGTTGCCATGTATGGAGGAACGAAAAAGGATGCGTTGAGACTTCGCCGTAGGAGCGTACCGTTGACGCGGAAGAAATCGTCCATGTCCTATCTGAGTGCGCGATCCGAGACCGAGACTGCCGTGGCAACCGACGTGAGATCCCCTTTACCAAAAAAGAAAACAACAATTACATATAACAAAAAAAAAAAAAAAGAAAGAAAAAAAATATATATATGAAAAAGAAAGACTGTGCATGACTCTCTCTGCTAACTCTTCTTCCTTTTCGTTGCATATATATATATATATATTTTTTTTTGTTAATCCTGATTGTGAACAACCACAATTTTTGCCTTCATCGCCGCAGCCGCTGCAGCCGCAAACTCCTTCTTCTTCTTCTTCGCCATTACTGTTGCCACTGACCGCTAACTATATTTTTTATCATTTTTTTTTTTTTTATACGTCTCTGATTTTTTTCTTTTTTTTTTTTCTTTTGTCATGTCGTTTTATTTTTATTCATTTTATTTTGTCCAATTGTATAAGCTGGGTTTAAAAAAACATATTTGTTACGAAGGGAGACCATTTGTTGTTGTTTTTATCTTCGAGAGAAGAAACTTCATTATAAATTATAAATCAATTTTATATATATATGTTATTATATATATATATATCATTAATATATTATAATATATTATATATTATTTATAATATATATAATATAAATTTATATATAATAATATATATAATATTTAATATATATTATTATTGTGTGTTATATATATATATATATTGTTATGTATATATTTATATAATAATAATAAAAATATATATAATAATATTACTTTAATATTATATATATATATATTTAGATATTATTATATATTAGATATATATATATATATATATATATATAATATTCCGAAAAATGTAGAATTAAAACTCTCTATCGCTTTTGTTTTTTTTTTCTAAATTGCAAATTTCTTATCTTTTAATTTAACAACGAAAGATTTGAACAAACGCCTCAGGCAGTCTTTATAAAGTCGCGATAGCACGAAATTCAAATTAGCTTATAATCTATTATACGCTTTAAATCTGCAATGCTCTATTTATCTATTATATACATACTTACATATGTCTTCTTTCAGTAATCTGTGTACTTAATTTTCTCTTATTTATATATAGCCAAATATTCAATCGTAATTTGACATATTTATAAGCTAGCTAAATATATGTTAGATTATATACATATATATATACATATATAATCTTAATAGGATATTTTGACTAAAACTACAAATCTTTAACAAATTTTAACAGTAGATTATTTAAAATGGTAATTATTTGTAAATCCGATCGCTTTCTTTCCACCAGGTATATTTTATTCTCTCACGCGCTTTATATCAAGCTTTATTTAAATGATGGCGAAGGTGTGTATACCTACCTACCTACCTACCCTACCTACCTACGTGTGCTCTCATTTGTATTACAAATGACTATATCGTGTTCCGTATTTATTTTCTCAATGTTCGTAGATACAGTTTATAGTGAGGCTCTTCATCGCTGATATATATATATATATTTATATATATATATATATATATCATATGTAAAACGCTCGATATATATTGCGCTTACTATCTTTATTTATTGTTTTTTACAGTCTAGGGCCTGCAATCACAAGCTTCTTGTTATTTAACAATAATCGTTAATAACGAATAATCAACGTTTATATTTTAGCTGGATTTGTAAACGATCAATTCTGTCAATTGAACAATTTGATAAAATGGATTCTTAACACGTTCCGTTCGCAATCCTTTTTATCTGACTTGTCATTCAAGCCATTTAATTTTGCTTTAACAAAATCAACCATTACACATGTAATTATTAATTATTATAAATATAACAATTAAACATATTTATGTGCTTTGTTCTATACTACATTTTGTATAATGCATCAATATTTTAATAGAAATATATTTTTGTACAAAATTCAATTTGTTATAAACATATATTTAAATAAATATATGAAATGATAAGTGTACCTCACCGGTGGTACACGTGGAACGTAACGTGTTAATAATTATTCTGTATTTGAATAATAACATATTAATTAGATTTTAAAAATTGATCGTAATATGATCGTTTTCAATATCAAAATATATGTATATATATATATATATATATATATAAACTATAAAATATTTACACGTAAGAGATTAATTTTGTGTATTTATTTTGAAAATATTAGGGTGCCGATCGTGCGAGTATTACATCGGCTGAAATTGAATCGGAAGAAAAAGAATTGGCGACTGTTGATTTAGCAAAAACACCACCTATTTCTGACGATGAACGTGCGGAAGAAAAGGCGGAAGAAAAGAGTACCGAAGATGAGGAAGAAAAGAAAGTTTCCATTTCAACATATTTTCAATTCTTATGGGTAATGGTGAATAGTACTCTGATCTCAATGACCAAATATCTCAATCAGTTTTCTCGAGATTATAGATATATCCGTAAGGTTTTAGCGAAAGAAAAGAAAATATTAAAGGTATGTTGTATATTGCATTTATAATTCAGTGGGCGGTTCGTTAGAATATTACAATTTTCAAAAATATATGCACACAATACAAATGCACAATATTATACGAGCCGCTTCTCTGTCTCAATATTTCATAATATATAATAATAATATTGCTCTGCTTTCTTCGTTGTCCTAGATAAAATAACATTTGTAATTTTTAACATTAACAGGGTAAACCAGATTTCAAAATGGGTTTTAGATTAGGAATTAATCAAATGTGGCAACCGATACCATTGGTACAGGATAGGTAAGAATACATTTCTATTGTTAAATTTTACTAAGTAAGTAGCGTATTTGTGTAGGTATAGAAATATTTCATCAGATATGTATACGTCAAAAAAATGATTACGCTATTTCACGCTATACTTGTATGTATTTGAACTTCGATTTAATTTAAATGTTCTCGAAAAGTACACCTTCTTCTTTTTCTAGTTTGCTTTTTAAACAGTATGTTGTTCGTAGATTAGTGATGTAGTTCACAACAGTAAATAAAAGGATTATTATTCAAATTTAGTAGTTTAGAAAATCACTATAAATATATAGTAGTAGTTTTAAAGATTAGTAATATACGGTATTGGTATTTGTATGAACAAAGTTATAGCTCCTTTTTGTTGTTTTCTTCTTTGCTCTTAAACATATTGTATATGAATGTCATACCGTAGAAGCTAGTAGTAAATGTGCTCGCTCTGACAGATCATCAGCCAATGGAGATACAGAAGATGCTTCTGATCCCGGTGAAGGTCCTAGTCAGGACCAACGATCTCAGGCCGAAAGGTAAGTGCTTTGATATTTTAATAATGGTTTTGTAGAGAAGCATAGAAATGTAATTAATAGAATCTTCCTTTTATTATTAATCCTATAATCCTATATACAGGATGTGTGTTCCTTTTAAAAATATATTATGAATATATTAAATGTATTTAATTATCTGTATGTAACTAAAAAAAAAAAAAAACATTACAAGTTACTTTATTATATCTTTTGACTAATAGGAAATCATTGACGCCGTTTCAACAACACAAAACGCAAAATGATATATCCAAATTGACCTCACCTACGTAAGTTTAATCCTTACATTCTATCCTATCCTAAATAATCCTAAAAATTATCCTCAAAATATGTAATTAGCTCTATTAGATAATTTAATCTAAAATAAACGTAGAAAGTGTGATGTTATTTTTGCTAGGAAGGAAAGCACGCTGACAGTACCTCATATTCGAATCCTGGCCCCAAGTTTGGAGCGAGGATTGGACAAGTCCTCCTCCAGGTATCGAGATTGTGTTGTATATTTTCATTGAATGAATTATTTGCATAGTAGTGATATATTATAACTTTATACACTATTGCACGCATTTATCAGCACATTATAACACATTTAGCATTAATCACAACTATTGTTGTTCTACGTTTTATATGCTAATATATTTCATATACAATTTCATGTTTTCTTCATTGATATATCTGTTCGAACAACGAACAAGTTTTATTTTAAAAGCAGATTTATCGTATACATTTATTATCATTTTGTAAATACATTTTCTAGAATTCATAACAATTTATAATTAGCCCAATTTTACAGCATTCTCGAGCTAAGCTTTAAATCTGCTTTTAATATTGTACACATTGATGATTTGCAGAAAATAACAAAAGACCATTTACATTTACTTTCTGCAAATTTGTATTAAAAAATAATGTTAAACTTAAAACTGCATCTAATTCGAATATTTTCTCTAAACAGCACGGTTTTCTCGCAAATGTCACAAATTCAAGTTGAAGAAGAGGGTGCAGAATTATCCGAGTTTGATCAACCGCCGATAATTCAATTGGCAGCATCAATATGGTTTGGAATTTTGGCACATTCAAGTCTGTTGTGTTACTTTATGGTATTTCTTCATCAAATTAAAAATGCCTCTGTTATCTCTACACCATTACCTCTGATGGTATTTTGTTGGGGTTCTCTCACAATCCCACGACCTTCGAAAACATTTTGGGTGACTTTAATCGCTTATACAGAAGTAAGAATTTCTACAAAGTATCAAATTTGTAAAACGATATTATTGTATGAGTATATTAATAATTTGTTGAATAAATTTTACTCTTACAGGCAATCGTCATTATGAAATGCATTTTCCAATTGGATTTCATTCCTTGGAATCAAATAGCAACATCCAGTCATCCACTTTTCGGACCGAGAATTATTGGCGTTGAAAGACAACCAAATTATGCTCTATGGGATTTATTGTTATTACTTATGGTTTTCTTCCATAGGTATTTACTTCCTTTATACTATATAAAATATATAAAATATGAGGAAAATACTCGTAATTTCATGTGAAGAACTTTGAAATTAATGTTTAAATTATAAATATTCGAATGTAGATTAATGCTCAAATCATTGGGACAGTGGACTACACCATCGATAAAACCAAGAAAGATAATTCCTTCTCAAATGACAGTGATTACATCTAGAACTGTTGATCCTTCCTCTGGAGATGGCCAAACGGAAGAAACAATAACACATCCTTGGCAGCAAGGAACTACAGAGTATGTTGATTTTAATAATTAACCACTTGACATATTTGGACGTCTCCGAGACTTCAAGAACAACGTTCAGTATACCATTAAAGTAGCTGTTTCGGTCATGCATCAATACTGTTTTGTTTAGAATGTTGTAGATGCATTCCTCTTTTCAAAAAATCGCATAAATCAATGTAAATTTAAAAATAAAAAGCCCTGTTTTTGGGTTTATATATGAGTGCTCACAATGAAGCTAAATTAAATGGTATCTTATGGGCGCGTCGATAAGAATTTAATTTGTATGTCAAGTGGTTAAATCGATTTTTCTCTATTACTCTCTCGTTGTTTATGGAATTGGTAATGTTTGTTGATATAGATCACATATTGATATTAAAACACCAAAAGGTAGAAACTTAAATATTAAGGTAGCAACGGATGCGCAAAGTAGCACACCAACGGTAGATGAAAATGAAAAATTAGTAGCTATTCAAAGTGAAGAAGTGCATCCTCACAGTGAAAACATTTCAACTACCATGAATATGACGTGAGTTAGCTTTGTAAAAGGATCATAGATAAAAAAAGAAATAATAATAATAATAATAATAATAATAATAATTCGATCGATTTCATTTAAATCATAAAAATAATTTCAGAGTTAATAAGTATCTTGAACCTACAAGAGAATTCTTTACTAGAATTCTTAGTCCTGTTGGCAAAGAAAAGACAAATGTCTATGCATACATGTTCCTTTGTGATTTCTTTAATTTCATTCTGTTAATTTTTGGATTTTCTGCATTTGGTGTAAGTCATATGATTATTTTTTTAATAACGTTTCTTAATTTTGTCAATTATATCAATTTATTCTTTGTAGACACAACAAGGTGATGGAGGAGTGACAGCTTATTTGCAAGAAAACCGAGTGCCAATGCCTTTCTTACTCATGTTATTACTTCAATTTGCATTGATAGTTATCGATAGAGCTTTATTTTTGAGAAAATCCATTGTAGGAAAATTAATCTTTCAATATTTTCTCATATTTGGAGTTCACATGTGGATGTTCTTCATATTACCGAGTGTTACAGAAAGGTAATAAATATATTTATATTTAACACCACACAGTTTAGCTGACAATCCAAATAATATTCCATATAATTTGTTAGAAATGTTATTAATACTATTGTTTCTTTTTAATATTACAGACAATTCAATGATCGACTACCACCTCAGATCTGGTACATGATGAAGTGCTTTTATTTATTACTTGCAGCATATCAATTGCGCCAAGGATATCCAACTCGCATACTTGGCAATTTCTTATGCAAAAAATATAGTATTGTAAATTACGTCTTATTCAAAGGGTGAATATATGTTTTTAAAAATTCCATGTTTTTTTTCTTTTTTTTTTTTTGATACAATGATATCTAATGAAATCTTATTATTTGCATACAGATTCATGTTAGTTCCATTCTTGTTTGAATTACGAGCTGTCATGGATTGGATTTGGACTGATACTTCAATGACAATAATGGACTGGTTCAAAATGGAAGACATTTTTGCTAGTATTTATCAAATCAAGGTATTTTTTAAATGAAAGCATCATAAATCAAAGATGATAAACTTTTTTTTAGATAATTTCACTGAATACTTTATTAAATTATAGTGTATGCGTGGAGTGGAAACAGATTTTCCACAACCACGAGGAGAAAAAAAGAAACAAATGAGCAAATATCTCGTTGGTGGTGGTGCACTTTGTGTTATAATAGGTCTTATATGGTTCCCATTACTATTGTTTGCTCTTGGGGGAACAGTTGGAGTTTCAAATTTACCTTATGAAGTATCAATGAAGATAGGTATAGGACCATACGAACCAATTTATTCTATGACTGCTCAGACCAGTTCAATCATTGAATACAGTGAAGAAGAATTTAAAAATCTTACTGATTTGTATACACGAGATAAAGAAGCTGTTACCTTCTTAGAAAATTATTTTAATACTGATGTAGCAGTTATTAAACTTTGGGGTTTCTCCAGAAAATTATGGGACATTTCACCTCCTGACAAAGAAAAGTTCGTTCTTGATTAAATTTATTCATTTCTCATTTTGTCTCATTTTTTTATTTATTTAAGTTTAATTACAATCAATAAGGATCAATTGTTATATTAATACTTTGTTTGTTTTTTTTTTTTTCATAGATTAATGATGGAACTAAAATCTGATGCAGACGTTTTTGTGCATATTGAATGGACAGTTTGTAGAAAAACTAATGTGAAAGATTCAACTGGTATATCAACAAGTCATCGTGATGTACCATTACCAGCATTTATAAATGGAGAATTTAATCCAACGAGAAAGAAATTAGCAGACATGTTGTCTGTAGAAAGTATGAATTCGTCTAACGCTACAATCATCATACCATTTGCATTTCCAAAATTCCTTAAGGTTACAAGTAGAGCTACCGATTACGTACCGCAATTAATGAAATTACCAAGTTCACAATGTAAGATTTATTTATAAAACTAGATGCCACCATGTCAATTGAAAATATTTCGAAGTAAAATACAAATGATTAAATTATAAATCAATTTTTCAGCATTTACTACGAAAGAAGAAGGTAGCACGCCTACCGATGATTATCTATTTAGAAATATTAGTCTTCAATTATCTACTGATCGACAATGTTGTGCACATCAGCAATGGTGGATCGTACAAGAAGTTTGCGACGATCGTCTTTATTTAGACTTGTTACAAAATATACCATTGAATAATTGCAAATATATTATGATGTTTTTGTTCAATGACAAAGCATTCCCAGAAGGATTGAGCTTCATTAGTGGATTTGGGTAAGACAAAGCTGATAAGACCAAAAATATCTATTAAAATGATCATATATATACTCTCATAATCTTGTAATGATTTTTATTTCATTTTCATCAGAATTTTGGGCTTGTATACCACTGCTGTAATTGTGATAAGTCAAATGATGCGTAAGATAGTAAGCGACATGGCACCAAAGATAATGTTCGATGATCTGCCATATGTCGACAGAATTCTTCGATTATGTTTAGATATATATTTGGTACGCGAAAGTGGTGACTTATGTTTGGAAGAAGATTTGTTCGCAAAACTTATATTCTTGTATAGATCTCCAGAAACGCTTATCAGGTTACAATCTATTATAATATTTCATTTTATATATATATATGTATAGACCATGAAATAATCTTTTGTACATATAATCTTATATAATTAATTTGTTGTTTATAGGTGGACGAGACCACCGGAAGAAGGAGAGCGCACTGACAATGAAGATCAAGATGAAGAAGATGGTAATGAGGAAGTAGCAGAAGGAAGAGAATTACGTGAAAGACCTCATCGTGATTGAATTATTCAAAATAATAATGATGATGATTATCTGATGACATAAGAATGAAGAAACATGATGGTATATATAGTGTGTTCAATTTTATAAAATAAAAATCAATGCTGTCGATATTCGATCTTGAAGTCAGCTTCGAGTATATTTCACGATATACTTTAACAATCGTTACTTACACATATATATATATATTGCTAAAGAAAGAAAAAGTTCTATATCAAGAAAAACTTTGTTCTTATCAAGCAAGAGGAGTATGATGAAGACAAAAAACTCTTCATCATTACCTGAAACTACAGAAACATGCTTCTAATAATGATGCAATTTATAAGTGGCTTATAAATAAAGAATGTGATGCCTTCGGTATGCAAATTTTTACTAAAAAAAAAAAAATGACGATTGCTTTTAAATTTTAATTATAATGAAAATGTGGTATATATACATATATATGTTTAAATTATGAAATTGTGCAAAAAAAAAAAAAAAACCTGGAAGAAACAATACATATTAAATGTTTTACAAATGAGAAAAGGAACTGACACACGAATTAAATATTGAAAACGTTTGATGATTACTTCAGAAATGGCCTATACAAATTCACTAAGAATTTCTCTTTGTAATTGTACAAATAGATCTTACATACAGATTCTATTATTTATTAATGAATATATCGTTCATTAAAGAAACATGTTGAATTGTTAAATATGAATTCTATCATGAGTTATGCATTTAAAAATACTACTTTTTCATCAATAATTTTATAATTTCCATTATGCTTAATATTTCTAGTTAATAATATAAAATGATGTATATAAAATATATATATATATATGCTTGATAGCATTTTATAAGTATTAATATAACAGTCCAGCAAGAATAAAAGTCTTTATTAAATGATTGCATACACATTGTAATTAATAAATATTTATGCAGAATTTATTCAACGTATTTTTAATGCATTATCATTGGTCTTATGTGTAAAAAAGCAACATTATACATAGTATATTGATTGAACAATATATATAATGCTTTTATATTTATTTAATAAAATAATAATAATAATAATAATGCATAAATGTGATGACTGCTAACAATGGATTACATTATAATAAGTAAGTAATGGAATGATGATATAAAAATAAATTATTTTTGTGAGAGAGAGAGATAATACACTTAATTCTTCGATTAACAATTGAGTTAATAATATCCTATGAATAGGCACTGTTTATTTCATTTGTTATATAGATAACTTGTAATATATATATACTCCTACTTACAAATTAACAATTAAAAGTTTAGAATATCACCATTTGGCAGAGATTGTTAACAATTCATTGGCAAAGCATTGATTAATTATAAAGTTATGTAATTGTTAAATGACGTTTCTTTTGTAAAGCATGAAAAAGTCTATTTCAATATTCATTGTTGCTGCATAGATAATTCTTTACATTTCAACTTTAAAGCTGTGTTTTCTTCTTTAAGAAGTTCCAAATCACTTAATTTCTTAAGTAAATCATTATAACGTTTTTGTAAAATGATTAAATCCTCTTGTAATTGTTCATTTTCTTCTATTAGAGCTTTCATACGAGTCGAATCTCTAGTTGGATGTATTTCTTTAATTATCTCATCAGTTTGTAACAACATATTTCTTATAAAAGTTTTCTGTGAATTTATGTGAATCTCTTGCATAGCTCTTAATAATTTTGTGCTTTCTTGTTTGGTATAAGTACTTATAAGATCTTTAATTGCATTAAGCAATATAACTGGATCATATTCCTTTGTATCAGACTTTTTTAAAGAACCTTCACTCGTGCGTCTTCCTTTATCCTTTGTTACGTCCATATGAGTACTGATTCCTTTCGAAGAATCTGATGGACGGCTGTTTTCTTTACTGGAACTATCCAAAGAACGTGTATTATCTTTACAACTACCAGACCGACGATTATAATCTTTAATAATAATTTTATTATCTGATACTTTAACCTTTGCCTCTTGCTTATTATTATCCTTCTCTTTACTGTCTGATTTAACTTTATTTTCCATTGATTTTAATTTATTTTCCGTAACTTTGTCTTTTCTCTCAGAGGATTTAGTTGTTTTTAACATTTGCTTTCGTGTGTCATTTTCCGTTACATTTTTACTAACAACATCTTTGTTAGGTAACTCCTTTTTATTGGATTCCCGAATCTGTGGCAATTTTGATACCTTACTCGAGACACTTTCAGTTTTTTGTTGTTGTACTATAAGTTTTTCAAAATCATCTTGTTCCGATGAACGTTGTAAAGGGGAAGAGGTTGTGTGTCTGACAGTTACATGTCGATCTATTGGACTTTCTCTAGCATTTCTTTTCTCGTTTGGCAATAAATCTAAATCTTCTAAGAATGAGTCATTCATTGTGTACCACTCACTATTACTTTCTTTTTTCGAAACTGTTAAAAAAACTGAAATTATATATACATATATATATATATATATGGATATTAATAAAAATATTTGTAGAAATATGAAGAAAAAAAAAAGAAGAACTTTTTAATCGATAATATAAAATTGTATAGCATTTATAAAAATAAATAAACAATATCACTAAATCTTACGTTACTTAAAAATACATACGGTATAAAGAATAAATTGAACATTTATAACGGCAAAGCGGTAACCCCCCACTATTTAACTGTAAATAGAAACTGCCATTGGGAGAACAGCTGATTTTGCTGTTACTTGAACTTGCGCGCCATCTGTCGTGGCTACGACAAAATACAATCGAATATAAACTTTTATAATATAATAATAATAATTTTTTCTTATATATATATATTTCTTTATAATATTATTATAAAATAAAATTATAAAAGTAAAGTATATAAAAATTATAATTATATATAAAGTAAAAATTATATATTACTTTATAATATTACTTTTATAATATAAGAATAATTTTTTTTTCTTATACATTTCAATTCTTACAATTTCATTTTTTTATACATATATATTATAATATAATATTAGTATATACCAAAAAACAAGAAATAACAAACAAATATTTTCTATATCAGTAAACTATATTTCATTTATTACCACATAGCTCGTTGTACACCAGATAATTTATTATAATCAGCTAAATCACGAAACACTATTCTTGATAATCTCCATCTGTATACAACTCCTCGAGGTCGTGAAGTTACTACACAACGAAAAGTCAATTGTCTTAAAGCAGATTGTCTAGGAATCGTTTCTTGTATTTGTTTCTCAGCAAGATCCTTAAATAAATAATAAAATATACATTATAAAATTCCGTATAAACTAAAAAAAAGGGGGATATAAATGAATGTAGAAAAAAATCAATTGAATTACTCGAATTTCAACAGGTAGAATATTATTTCGCTTAATTGCAACCAATCTTAATCTTTCGGGTGCATATTTTCCTGCTAATTCTCTACGTTTAGCATCACGTCTCATTCTACAGCCAACATAATTCCGTATTTGCTGAAACTAAAATATAAATGTGTTATATTATATATTTTATAAAAGCAAATAATAATAGAAATTTATTATCGTCAGATTTTTAATATATTCACAGAGAATACATTATCTAAATATAAATTTGTAAGAGGTTAAGCTACTTCATTGATGAAAATAATCATTCAGTATTAAATGTCATCAAGATTTATTGTATATACGTACACATATGTCTTCAAAAAATTTTAAGTTTTTTAATGGTACTTACATCATGTCCTAAAAATTTAGAATTTTGTGAAAATATATTAAAGAACTTTGAAACACCAGACACAAGCGAAGCCATATTTCTTAAAGTGCTGCCCTCTGTTCCTGATGAACCATATAGTTTATAGTTTATCTTGCATCAAAATTATTGGTTTTCCTATTTTAATATTTCGCATTCGTAAAAATATCAGGTTAATTTAATTAAAAGACTACTTTTGTTTATCATAATATTATAATAAAATGAAGGTAAAAAAGATTTGTAAGAAAATAATATATATGTATATATATATATGTATGTATATATGTCGCAGATGGAGAATTTATTATTTCCGTATAATAATTAAAAAAATATAATTAAGCCGAGCTAAATTATTATTTCATTCGTATTGAAAGTAATGAAATAATAGGTATTATACTCAGTAGTTTATTTTTGCTTCATATATTTCATATAAGAGTGTTGTTCTAGTCATCGTTGACGACAAATTATTGATTTGTAGTCTGCCCTGCGAAATTCCTTTCGATGAAACAAATTACGAAATAATAGTCTTAATAAGATCGACGTACGTTGAAATACTTGGATAAATAGGCAATTATCATGTCTAAAATAATAAAAGTTGATCATCTTGTTATCTTTCGTAGAATACAAATATGTAAATAAGATTTTTGTAAAGAGAAATGATAATGATAAAAACAACAATTTATAAGATTTTAGCTTATATGAAAGACATGAAGAAATAATGCAAACTGTTTCAGCTGTTATAGCCAGATAAATTCGGCAATGAACATCATATACGGAAAATAGTTATTTCTTCTTCTGAGCTTTTTCGGCAGCCTTGGTGACTTTTCCACCACTAGCGTCCTTGAAATTAACAGCCTTGATTACACCGACTGCTACCGTTTGACGCATATCACGGACAGCGAAACGTCCCAATGGTGGGAATTCTTGGAAAGATTCGACGCACATTGGCTTGCTTGGGACAAGAGTAACGATAGCCGCATCTCCAGATTTAATCGATTTTGGATTCTCTTCAGTAGTCTTGCCAGTACGACGGTCACATTTCTCCTTTATTTCAGCAAATTTGCAGGCAATATGAGCAGTGTGACAATCTAATACTGGTGTATAACCATTACTAATTTGTCCTGGATGATTTAGTACAATAACCTATAGAACATATTAAATATTTATTATTAATATTTATTGTGCTGAAATAAATTTCATTGTAATCTTAACTTCAAAGCTAACTTAAACATCAAAATGTAATTTTTACCTGTGCTGTAAAATCAGCAGCACCCTTAGGCGGATTACTCTTAGAGTCGCCAGCAACAAAACCACGACGCAATTCTTTGACAGATACGTTTTTCACGTTGAAGCCTACGTTGTCACCAGGAACAGCTTCTGGTAAAGCTTCGTGGTGCATTTCTACAGACTTTACCTCGGTGGTCAAACCTGCAGGGGCAAACGTTACAACCATACCTGGTTTCAGAACACCAGTTTCAACACGACCAACTGGTACCGTTCCAATACCACCAATCTTATACACATCCTGTAAAAATAACATTATATAAATCATTAATAAAGAAATTTGAGATTTTTTGATCAGATAGGTTAATTAAGCAAATAATTACTTGAAGTGGGAGACGAAGTGGCTTGTCAGTTGGTCTGGATGGTGGGAGAATAGCATCAAGAGCTTCAATAAGACATTTTCCTTCTGCTTTACCTTCCTTACGCTCGATTTGCCATCCCTTGAACCAAGGCATCTTACTTGATGCTTCTAACATGTTATCTCCATGCCAACCAGAAATTGGCACAAAGGCAACAGCAGCTGGATTATAACCAATTTTCTTGATATAAGATGACACTTCTTTTTTTATTTCTTCAAAACGAGTCTCAGAGTATGGGGGTTCAGTAGAGTCCATTTTGTTGACACCAACAATGAGTTGTTTTACTCCAAGAGTAAAAGCAAGCAAAGCGTGTTCACGAGTTTGTCCATTCTTGGAAATGCCAGCTTCAAACTCTCCAGTACCAGCAGCAACGATCAATACAGCACAATCAGCTTGTGATGTACCAGTGATCATGTTTTTAATAAAATCTCTATGTCCAGGCGCATCGATTATTGTGACATAATATTTAGCAGTTTCAAATTTCCAAAGAGCTATATCAATAGTAATACCGCGTTCACGTTCTGCTTTCAACTTATCCAAAACCCAAGCATACTTGAAGGATCCCTTACCCATCTAAAATTTTGAAAAATACAAAATAAATATATCAAATATATAAGAAAAATTGTTAATTTTATATAAAATGCTAAAATATTATGCAAAAATAAGTGAACTCTAATGCTTGAACATAAACTATTATTAATAATAATTTAAACTTAAAATCTCTTATGGATATCAATAAATGTGATTTTATCATTGTATTTTATCATAATAATTAATAATCAAATAATAAACTTACTTCTTGGGCCTCCTTCTCGAATTTCTCAATGGTACGCTTATCGATACCACCGCATTTGTAAATCAAATGTCCAGTGGTAGTTGATTTACCGGAATCAACATGTCCAATCACGACAATATTTATATGAACTTTCTCTTTACCCATTTTTTAGTTTTTTAAGTAACTTAAAATATCTACATTGAGAAACAAAAAAAAAATTCAGATAAAATCAATATTTCATCATTATGAGAAATTCTTTTTTTTTTGGCTTAATATGATATAAAAATATGTTTAAAAGAAAAATAATTGATTTATAAATATTTATAAGTATTTTTATTACGAATATTGTTATACTAATAGAGAAATGAAACTTTTATTTAAATGATTCGGAAGTAGTGACTAAGTAATTAACGGTCATGATGGTTTAAGGTTATCCGAATATTTAAATAGATTTTTCTGATATTATTAATTATTTGTAATTATTTATTTAATATTATAGATTAATAGATTAAAAAGAATTTTTGTTTTTACCAATATTGTAACTTAATCGACAATTTCTTCGGAATTTTTCAAAGTAGTAAGACCTCCTTTGTCCTTTGTCCACGTGGCGAATCTGAGCATTCGGGAAGAGAACCGGCGACCATTTTGTACAAGGGCATCCAAATTGCGACGTTGTCACGATTGCGACGTTGTCACGATTGCGAATTTATGTAACATCCTGGACTCATAATTAATCATAAATATAATAAATAATAATTTTTATATTAAAATAATATTTTATAAAGCTTCTTTTTTTATAATTTTCAACGGATTTAATTTATAAAAATAAAAAAAAGATATCTTTTGATTAACTCATTTTTAATCTAAACCATTCAGATTGCGTATCATATATGACGAAACTTAAGAAAGTCCTTTTTTTGAAAACGTACCTTGTTTTATATTAACATTTTTATTTTATTATAATAATACGAATAGATTTGTATCGAGATTTATCTTGAATAATTATTAATTTCTTTAATATCTGTATGATTTTGTAAAAATAGTAACGCGCGTAATAATGGCGCGTAAGCATTAAATAATATTTTAGTCATGTAAATCGGGCTTAAGTAAATCAAATGTTAAGCTTGGCAAACCTGACTAATATTTAACAATTGTATTATAATTTATCTGGATTGTTAAGTATGCTAGACATAAGCACATTTTTCTAAATCCAAAATTCTGACATACAATGAAATTCATCTATATTTGATTCTCTGATTGTTTTATTATTTTTCATGATTTTTTTCACATTATTTTTAATTTTTAAAACTTGATTAAATCGATAAACAAGTATACATCATGTGTCTGTCATATACCATCTTTAATCTACTTTTAGGAATATCATCATTTACATATGGGGTTGGTATATTATATTATTTTTTATCAAATTCACAGAATTATTAAAGATATAAAATAATGTAATAATAATGATTTTAATTGTAGATCGAACTTGATGTTGATGGCCGAATTCAGTTGAGATTATGGCATGCGTTCAATGATGAACCAGTACCAAATTTTGTAGAAAGAGGAAATGTAACAATTACAAGTGTACGTAGTGGAGATTCAATTGTTGGACAAAATGGACTTTTACAAGCACAAATTAATCAATTAAAAGATTTAGCTAAAAACGATGGAAAGTATAGATTGAAAGCAATAGCCCGTACTTCTTCTGGAAGTGAAACAACTTTTTTAACTTCCATACCAGCGGTATGTGATATAATTATAATAATATTTTCTTTCATGCATTGACATATTTCTTTGATATGTAAGTTCAAATTTGATATAACTTTGAAATTTTATGAATAAATTGCAGTGTAATTTACTTGGATCTGATCTTGAAGATTTTTTAACGGTATGGCTAGATAGCTCAGCAGAACCAATAGCAGTTAGTTTATCATCGTCTGGTCCATGTGTTCTAAATAGTCCTTCGACAAATATGTGGACTACAAATATATTAGTCAAATATCCTGATAGTGGGCCTGTACCAGATACAGCAATTTATATTCAAAAACTTGAACGAGAACGTGAAGCTCGAGAAAGAGGAGAGACTAAAGATAATAGATCATTCCTTGCAAAATATGTAAGATTTGTATATTTTTATTTTAATATTGACATTGGAATTCTCATTTATATTATTTTTCTAAAATTTCAGTGGATGTATTTCGTTCCTGCATTGATCTTTGTTTTATTAACATCAGCAACCAATCCCGAAGTAGCTGCAGGTGGTAGTGGTGGTGGTGGTGGTGGTGGTCAAAGACAGTGATTCCTTTTTTAAGACTATTTAATTGTACCTGCGAATGTATTGTGATCTTACTGATGCGTGAGAGTTTTCTGTATGTTTTCTTCTAATTATTATTATTGTATTATATTCCTGATCTAATAAATGTGTACAGTTTAAATATATTATACATTATGATGAGTTATATACATCATACATAAATTTATGTAAAATTATATATTTATAAGCATATTCATATACAAATCAATATGCTTTATTATTATATTTCAATTGTATTATATATATACTCGTTTTTTTTATTTATTAATATATGAGTATATTATTAATAAATATATTTACGAAATTGTTATATACCATAAAAGATTTGCATAAATTACATAATACAAAATATCGTAAAAATATAATAGTTCTTTTTCTTACTAAGAAAACAAAGATTACCTGTGGTACGAATCATTTACAAACTCAACTTGTGTATAGGAAGTGTATCATATAATATGGCAGAAGAAATCAATACACTGTTAGTCTATCTCTAGCAGCAGTAGTAATATAAGGAGTTATTTATTTAAACCTTTATACATTTAATTGATAATATTGTTCAATGGCTGCATTTTCATTAAATATTCAAAAACACATAGAATTAGGTCTTGTAGCTAGTGGAAAATTTGATGGTTCTCATGCTTGTTTAGTAGCTGTTACCTCTGGAGGAAATGTTTTAGTACACAGTCCTCATAGACAACCTCAAATTAAGAACAATGATTCTGAACAACCAGATGGAAGATTATCTTGGAGTGGAGAACTTGCTGAATTGCAAATTGGTAGTCAGGTCGTGTAACATTAAAAACAGACATAATTTATAATATTTCAATATTCATAAGTAATATAACTTTTGATACCAAAAAAAAATATATATATATATATAGGATTGAAATTAATACTTCTTTAGGTAACAGCAGTATGCACTGGGCATTTTGGAGAAGATGAAAGAGATATTCTTTTAATAGGAACTGGTACACATATTCTTGCTTATAATGTAGAAGATAATGCTGATATTTTTTACAAAGAGGTATTATTATCATCAAACAGTTACGATATGTAATTAAATTAATTAGACAAATTAATAAACAATGTTTTATACTAACTACTATTTAATAGATGTCAGATGGTGCATTGTGTATAACGATAGGAAAACTTGGATGGTTATCTGATCAAGTAGCAGTAGTTGGTGGAAATAGTTCAATAACTGTTTTAGATTCTAAAGGAAAAGAAATTTTTTGGACAGTGATGGGAGATATAGTTACTTCTATTGCAATATTTGATTTTGAAGGCGATCATGAGAATGAAGTATATAATAATTATATATCACTAATAAACTTTTTGATCTGATAAAATATAATTTGTAGTTACTTATTGGGACAAAAGATTTTGAAATAAAATTAATGAAAGAAGATGCAATAGTATGGGATACGAAAGAAACAGCATCGATAACTGCATTGGCAGGACTTTCAAATAAACAATTTGCATATGCAGTTGGTAATGGAACAATAGGTGTTTATGAAGTTGGTCAAAGACTTTGGCGAGTTAAAGTGAGAATTATATAGATCAAGAGATATATCTACAATGAATTTATGAATTTATTTTTTTGTATTTTATTTTCAGTCTAAACACAGAGCAGTAGCTATACGAAGTTTTGATATAAATGGAGATGGTGTATCAGAACTCATTACTGGATGGAGTAGTGGAAAAGTTGATGCAAGATCATGTAATACTGGAGATGTCATATTTAAAATACAATTATCTACTAGTGTAGCTGGTATTGTTGAAGCTGATTATAGAAGACAAGGTAGACCAGATTTAGTTGCAGTATCTATTTCAGGAGAAGGTATTTAAATTACATTTTATTCAATTCACTTTTTTTTGAATCTTTATTATAACAGAGTAATATTAACAGTGCGTGGATATGCTTCTGGAACTTCGATGGAAGCTCCAGAACCTGGTGAAAGAATGCGTGAATTATTATCTAAGAAACAAGCATTGCAAATGGAACTTCGACAAAGAGCTGCATCAGTTCCAAATATGTATCATCATACAAAATTAGCAGTTAGTTTAATATCAGCTAGAGGTGCAGCTCGTCTTGGTGTTGCAGCTGGACCAGGTCTTTTGGTAATATATATATATATTCATTTTTTAAATCATAAAATTATTCTCTTTCAATTACCATCATTTTTTACGTAGGTTCATTGTGCTATAGTATTTGCTGAAGGTATATTTGAGGGTGAAACACTTGTAGCTCATCCAAGCAGGCCGCAAGGTGAATTAGAAATTGAATTACGTCCTCCAAAAAATGGACCTATTGATATTCATGTAAAAATTAGTGTTGGTCCACCTGGTGCAGATTTATTACAAGTATTTGACGTTTATAATATATTTATATATATATATTTTTTTGTATTTTATATTATTACTATTTTATCTTATAGGTTTTTGAAATGACAAGACAATTGCCCAGATTTTGTATGTACGAAATTATTTTAAATCCAAAAGAAGTTCCTCAAATGGAAATAGAGAGTGGTATTACTATAGAGGTAAATTGTTAAATATTATTATGTAGTGATATATATTCGTATCTTAAGATTAATTAATAAGAACGATATTTATACATGTAGGTTGCTGAGAGAGCACAGCGTATTGCATTATGGTTGAATCAAAGTCTTCTACTTGCAGAGGAATTAGAAGTCGCAGAAGAAGGACCAAATGCTGCATCTATTGAACTTTGGCTTCGTGGATTAAGAGATAACAAAGTTCATTGTCTAAAGGCAAATCCTTTTGGAAAAGTAACAGTACTTACAGAAGACTCGACATTTGCCGGTGATATAGTTCAATCTTTAGCAATGTATTTAGGTCTTAGAGAACTTACTTCAGAAGCCAAATTTCCAAACGACGAAAGTAAGATGCTGGAAGCTTTAGAAAGTGTCAAAGGTTATATCTTATTATTTGAGGCTATTTTTTAATAATTCATATATTATAAATCGAGGTCATCAGAAGCTAATCAAAGGTGACGAAATAAACACAATTAAAGATTTATTTGTATTCATTGCAGGTTTAAAAGATGTCGATGCGAAACTTCAAGCGGAAGCTGCTAGCAATGCTGTTCTTCTTAAAAGCGTTGTCATTCGTTTAGAAGATGCACGAATATTGCAAAATGTAGAAGAAATGAAAAAGAGATTATTACAATTGAAAGCTATTAACAGTGACCTAATTAGAAATCACGAAATAAGAATGAACAGTAATCGAGATCTTTCAACACATTTGAAGGAATTGAATATCGGCGTTCAGCGAGTCGCTAAATTAAGGGGTACAAATTATCTTTCGTAACGTCTTATTACATTTAGTTAAATTATATAAATTTGTTTGATTTTTTGTAGTCGGTAAAGCTGCTACAAATGCAGTTTCACGATGTAGGACTGCAATACAGGATGAAAATCCAAGGGCGCTTGTTGCAGCAATGCGAAATGGTTAATTCTGATACCTGATACAAGAACTAATAGATGATATCTTTTAATTTTTTTTTTGCAACAATAAAATACAGTCCTCCTACATGTATACTGTAAATTAATAAGTAAGGTATATCCATCTAGTCCGTCCAATAGTTCGACTATTCGTAAGTATTCGAAAGATTTAATTGAAAAGTTTGAACACAAAGAATTGAAAAATAATATAACGTTTAAACATTAGACTCGTTTATTCGATTGTCTTCGGCTAGGAGAATAAAAACGGCCATGATTTGTCCAAATAAAAGTGCTGGGAGTATATAACTATCGTTACGCAACGTATGAGATATCTATTTTATTCTAATAAAAGAAAGAAAAATGATATTTTTCTTGTTTATTGTAAAAATATCATTGCGCGTGGAACATTTTTCAAGTCATGGTTAAACTATTGTATGGGAAGAGATAATTTTATTATATTACTCATGTGTTATGTTATCACATGAAATTTTTTCAAATTTCGTAACATAATAATGTGTTGCTAATATTATATAATTTTTCTGAAGAAAATCCTTGTCGCTTAAATAATAATAATAAACAATATCGATGATTATAAATAAAGATGTTTGGTAAGATTAAGTTGTATTATCGAATAATATAACAATAGGGATAAAAATAAAACAATTCTAACGCGTTTAAGTGTTAATAATGAGCCGTTTGTTTCAATATGCTTAGATAATCGTACGAAAATGTATGTACGTGGTATCGCGCCTTGAGAATGATAGATATAGATTTTGTTTACGGGCCCGCGATCACGCATAAATGACATGATCAATTTCTAAATAGTAAACAATCGTTTACAAAAATAAAGCTCATTGCGATTAGATGAAGACATTTGACAAGTAAATTATAACCACATATTTTCAAATATTTTCTATACTTCCGTAATGTTGCATCGTTTTATGTCTTTTTTTTTTATTTTTTTTTTTTTTTTTTATTTCGTTTTAAGAGAATAAAAATAAGTAAAAAGTAAAACAGAGATAGAAAAAGGAACGATAAAATTTGTATTTATGTACGATTGCATTTTGTTTTTTTTTTTTTATTTTTTTTTATTTTTTTTTTTTCATTTAAATTTTTAAACAAATATTACTTTGATATTTTATCAATTTTGTTTTATCGTTTTTTAAATTTATAATAATAACATTTCCAATGTACAATTTAAATACGCAAAATCGTTATCCAAAAATGACAAGCTTGTATTATTTGTGCTACATTTGGACATATTTGTAATTATTGTTTATTATTCGTTAACTTACAATTAGATAAAAAAGAAAAGAAAAGAAAAAAAGAATGTTTACGATTATGCACTTTAGTTAATGATTATTCAACATATTCATTAATGTCGTTAAAATTTGATAGGGCTTAACATTTTTAGTTTATTATCGTTCATTTGTCTTTTATCAGTGAGAAAAATGTTATTGAAATCGTACTTAACCCTTTATAACCCTGTGTGATTTTAGAGTATATATATATATATTTTTTTCTTCTTCTATCTAATATAATTTCTAGTTCCCCATGTGAGATTTTATATTTTACAATCTTTTTAACGATTATCAATTAGAACTCGAGATATCTATAGTTAATATCTAAGATCTTCGTTAATTTGTATTTAAACGTTGTATATTTGTTAATTTTACGTTTATGTAAATTATTATATTCTTTTTATTTGATAGTCAGAAGAAGAAAAAAAAAACATTCAGGCAAGAAGAAAATATGAAATAGTTTTGTATTTGTTCGCAATTTAAATAGCTTATCATTTACGACTAATTAATACTTGACAGGATCGTAAAAATGATTAGGTAGGTCGGTAGGTTTTTTTTTTTTATTCTATTTTCAAACGTCAACGATAAGACGTTACTAAAGGAAGAAGAAGAAACAAGAAAGAAGAAAAAAGAAAGAAAGAAGAATTCCTTGACAAATTCTTCCTATTTTGGCGCCATTACTCTCGGAATCTAATCCCATTGATAGTTTAAATATAGACGCTTGGATCTAACATAAGAACGAATAGGATGGGAGAAAAGCGTGCCGGCTCTTGATGATTCCCAGTTTATTTTCTCGGGTTATCGTTGCTCAACCGCGTTTGCTCTCTCCCCCTTATCACTTGTCATAACGGCACCAACGAATTATTACTTCAAATTCTTTGCGTTCGACGCGACCCGGGTAAGCAAAAAAACAAAAAAAAAAAATAATACAAAAAAAAGAAAAGACAAGACCACAAAAAAATTGAATGATGAATCTACCAGATATATGATCTTAACGCCTTCTTCCATGGATAAGATAATGTCTTGTATTCTCGTCTATCAATTTTTCAAGGCAGAAAAAGAGAGAAAGAGAGAGAGAGAGAGAGAGAGAGAGAGAGAGAGAGAGAGGAGCCATAAGAGGAAAGGGATCGTTAATTTTGTTTTCGTAATGAGATCGCCGACACATTGTTTGTTCACCACTGATATCTCGATAAAGAGTTCCCTTAAGATATTCAAGAGGATAAATTATTTTAATTAGACCAAAAACGATCAATTAAATTGAATACAATGTGTGTCTTTATTATTCCTGCAAATATTCAAGAAGATTTATTATTGTGGGTTTTTGTGATTTATTTTTCTACCAACCAACATATATATATATTCCTATTTTTATTCGTAGATGTCTGGTTCTAAAATTGACGAAGGATAATAATCATGGCTGATGATTCAGAAGAAGATTGGTATTATTTTTGAAAAAGTATCAGACTAAAATTAAAATCATACGTAATCGTGTTGAATTTTTTAACACGGTATTTATGGGATAGTGGTGTACGAATAGTATAAAATACGTGGGCGTGATTTTGCCATGAGCAACGTTCATTTTCTTGTGGTTTATTTCTTCTTTTGGTTTGTGTGTCTCTTTGAAGACGTCATGGTTGCGTAACACTTCAAACAGAGGATGAGTACTACACGCAAAAACGTTAAGAACATTTTGTTATAGGTGGTGAATTATTGGTGGTAATGAAAAAGAAGGTCAATGGCTAATACCTAATGTGTTAAACTTGGCAAAGGAAATTTATTTATTCATCATTGGGACATCGATATCGACGTCAAGTAAATTGCAATTCTTAATCAAATATGCAAATTTCACTGTTTATCGCTTAATAATGATGATAAACTTGAATAGACCAAAACACATGTTTCAATTTTCGTTTAACTTTATTTACTAAAATAAGATACTACAGATAAGATAATAAGATAATCGTTCAAACTGTCTCGTAAAAAAAAAAAAAAAAACGAAAAANTCTTAATCAAATATGCAAATTTCACTGTTTATCGCTTAATAATGATGATAAACTTGAATAGACCAAAACACATGTTTCAATTTTCGTTTAACTTTCATAACGTTTGCGCAAGTAGAATGATGCATAAATATACGTATGTGAGATACTGTAAACGAAAAAAAAAAAAAAAAAACGAAAAAAAAAACTAATTCGTTTGAAAGATATTAATTACCTTTTTGATTGGTATTTACCTTTGAAATCGTTGAAAATATCATTTAAAAAAAAAAAAAATAAAACAGGATCGTGGTAGAAAAAAATGTATTACTATCGATAGAATGCAATTTTTGTTGTTCTTATCACAATACGATTTGACAGTAGTACGATACGACAATGTGTGATAGGAAAATACGATAATAAAAGTACGAGAGACGGGAATGACGAGGATGTTTTCCAAAACGATGTATTTTGATAAGAGAATTATTCGTTTGTACGTTTTTTCAATTATTTCGACGACGCCAGGTCGATGGAGGTTTGAACTTAGACCTCGTCATGAGAAGGAAGGAATCTATTATATTTGTCTTTCTCTTTTTCTTTCTTTCTTTCTTTCTTTTGCTGATTGCCTTGTATGTTTTCTTTTTTTTTTTTTCGATCGATCTCTGACTCGACTCGGTTTATCTTTTTGCCTAAATTTAACTCGTACTTTTTTTTTGTTGTTGTTTAGCGAAATTTCACATCGGACAATTTTTTTTAAAATGTTTTTTTTTCTTTTTCTTTTTTAAAATTATTTTTAATTAAATTCGTCGTCGAGTCGTCAAATATTTCTTTGTAATTGAAGTACGATATATGTAATTGCGTAAGAAGTTACAAGAGAATTATTATAGTACCATTAGAAAGGACTTTGCAAGAGATCGGTGGGATTAGATCGACCTATTTTCTGCCAGTACGTCTGCACTCCATTATTCAATATCATAGGTAAGCCACCTTAAACGGAAGGACTGCTTAACTTGCTACTTGTTCTTATATAATTTACGATGCTAAAAATAAAATAATTGTCTACTTACTGGACCACAATCATTGAACTATCACATTTCTTTTTAACATCGTATATGTGTGTGTGTGTTTGTACAGAAAACATTTTAATTTATTCAATAGATTATTTCAATTTAAACATATTTGTCAAATTGCAATCATATTGATCTATGATAATGAAGTATAAATAATATTTCGATATTTTTATTATCTTTCTCCAATAATAAACAAAATATAGGTGCTTCAGTTCTAATCTCTTCACTCCGCAATTTGCATGCATTAGATAAATGCTCAGATAGTGAAATGAATTATCTTGTTAATATATCAATAGTAACTGCAGTAACAATTGGCGCAATTGCAAAGACAAAATTATCTTGTTACTATCGGTAGGACCTAAACTATGATAAAAGTCATTGCACGTGTAGTCAACTGTTGCCGGTTAACAACTGTTTAGTCCAATTTGTATATTCTATGCGCTTAGAAATCAACTATCAAGAATTCGTTTAGTTTTTCTTACCAATCAAAATCAAATATATACATAAATACATATATATATAAATATATTGGGTTGTCCGAAAGTTTGTGCCGATTGTCGATAGATGGCATTAAAGTTCTTTTGCTAGAAAACCTGAAAAGTTCTGGCAAAACAACCACACATTTTAAAGCTATTATATTATTATTATTAATATATAATTATTAATATATATATATATATATATATATANTATATATATATATATATATATATATATATATATGTAGTTATATTTATTATTTAATAAATATATAACAAAAAACAAACTTAAATGTGTTGCATTTCAAACTTCCGTCAAAATTGGCACGAACTTTCAAAACAATCCAATATCATTCAAATTCTAAAAGGAATACTTTTAAGATTATTTTTCTAATCTATTTAGATATAACAATCGAATATAATATATTATATTTAAAATTAAGTTTAAAAAAGAAAAAAAAACGAAATTAAAATCAATCAAAAGAGGAGAAAGATATAAGAACGTATAAGAAAATCTGACGATGTCGCGAGGCCAATGATACGTTGAAATTCGTCCTCGTTCTTAAGATTAAAATTTTGCGAGCGTAGACGGTAACTAATAGTCGGGGGACGGATCACGAGGACAAATTGTGACTGGTGCAATGATAAAAGAGACTGGGAGCTTACTCGATTACACCGACGTCAGGTCGGTTGCGAGTTGAACTTGGACCTCCCGTAGCAACAGGAACGAGAACGTTTGACGAATTGTTTAGACGATCACGACGACGACGATGAAGACGTGTCCCTTCAAGGAAGACCTCTCAAAAACGATTTTAAAATCGAGACATAAATATGGGTGAATAAAAAAAAAGAAAAGAATCAGATCGACGTATAACTTACACTCGTTCTTCTTCTTCATCTTCATCTTCTTCATCTTCTTCTTTTACTTTTTTTTTTTCGGGCGTTCGATAACTCTGATAAGAAGGAAATTATATATAAAAGAAAAAAAAAACAAATCTACTACTACGGTGTTCGAGTAAAATGACGATGATAATCGTGTCACACAGTGAGTAATAATAATAATAATAATAATAATAACGTAATCGTAATCAATTGAATCATCCTTAATTATAAATCTGCACGGGACTTACACAACTTCCTTTATATTAAACCATCAAATATTTAACAGCGACAATATATATATATATTTCATTTTTTCAAAAATTAGAATTGACAAAAAAACCCTAGTAGGACAAAATATTGAAAAATATCGAATACACGTGTATTTAATATTTTTCAATATTTTGTGCTACTAGGGAAGAAAGAGAGAAAATAATAAGCGATTAAAAAAAAAAAAAAAAAAAAACAAAAGTAGGAGTAAGATGATCAAAGGGCCCTTTGCTGCATCTTTCGATTGGCCCTCTCCGATTGTGGTGTCCCTCTCGATGATTAGCCCTCACGATTGGCGGCGGCGGCGGCCCTGTCTTTCTCTTTCTCTCTCTCTCTTTTCATTGAGAATTTCATCGACAATCAACCGACGAAGAATTTCTCTTCTTGACGATCATCGTCGCCGTCGTCGTCGTCGTCGTCGTCGTCGTCGTCGTTGTTGTCGTCATCGTCGTCATCGTGCTCGTCGTCGTAACTTTAATAGAAAGACAACGGACTCTCTCGGACGGGAAATTATGCGGCGTTGGGCGCATAATCATCATGAGCAGCGTAGTCTGATCGAGACGGTTGCTCTGATATGACCCCCTGCGAGAGTTGGTCTCAATTTTAAAGTAAGACCGATAGACGACAGAAAAAGAGAGACAGAAAGAAAGAGAGGAGAGAGAGCTTGTAATGGAGCCGTCGCACGCACGTGATTGGCGTAACAAGTCGGGCCTAGAATCGAATCCGACTTGTATACATATTACGCCTACATTCACATATATCGTAGCCTGGATCTCGAGCTGTGCACTCAAGAAAGAAGAATAAGAATAAGAAGATCAAAAAAAAAAAGAATATTAAAAGAAGAATATATATATATATATCGTTAGTAAATATGTGATAAGTATGCCGCGGAGCTTTTATGCCCCCCTGCGAGAGTGTAGTGTCGATTTCAAAGTACAACCGACAATCATTCGCGTGATATATGCAAAAAATTAAAAAAAAATAAAAATAAAAACAACAGCTTTACACGCATAAGTATCTAATGATAGACATATATATATATATACAATACGTTAAACTCGTTAATGGTATTTTTCTCTATCGGTTTCTATAACCAGCTGCACGACCGAGTTTCTCTCTCGTATATAGTCATTCTTTAATGTCATTTCACCAAAAAATCATGACAAGCTCTGATAGGGAGAAACGAATGATTGACGGTTTGCAAAATGAAAATACAAAACAACTTGATTTTCTTTAATCTCGCGAAAATACTAAATAAGAAGTTTTAATTATATAGAAGTTATAATTTGATTATATTTACTATATATATATATATATGTTATACGTAAGATCTTCTCTTTAAACTTCAATGACCGATAAAGTCCTAGCAAAAAAGAAGAAGAAGAAGAAGAAGAAGAAGAAAGAAAGAAAGAAAAAGAAAAAATAAAATAAAAATCGTTTCGTTCTTCGGGTGCGAAGTACAATTCGTGTTTCTTGACCTGGCAATTACGCGGTCACTGCCACGGGATAATTTAAAAGGAATGGAAAACATCTTCTGTGTCAGCGAATTGATGCCAGAGGTCCTTCTAAAACATCGTTGATAAAAATGAAGTATACTTTTTTTCTATGCGTACTAACTAATCTATTGACCTTAAGATTTTTAGCGTATCGGTGATAGTGTTTTGCTTTGATTACGTTGACTCAATATTACCATCGTTGCGCTTTTAGATAAAAAAAAAAAAAAAAAAAAAGAAAGAAAGAAAGAAAGAAGAAGAAAAAGAACAAGAAGAAAAAGTGAAGTAAAGGACCTCTTTAACCACATACCAGTGCAATAATCATAATTGTTTCCTTTTAAATGAACAAAATGAAGAGAATGTCTTCCATGTTAATAGAAGATGTCAAGTATGGTTGGGTCAAAGCGAAGAAGAAGTAGAAGAAGTAGAAGTAGATGTATATTCGACAATCATGAACGATTAGTCAGACACGAGAGTGCATCGCGTGAAACACGTGGGACATTGTACGTCCTTAGTGTCGTTCCCCTTTTTTCTTCTTCTTCTTCTACTTCTACTTCTACTTCTATTTCATTTTCATCCTTCGATCCTATTTTCCTCTCTCTCTCTCTCTTTCTCTTTTAACTAAACTTTTAACGAAAGTAGAAGTAACAGATACAGTGCGTGAAATAGAATTTTTTGTTTGCAAGTGCGATATCATGCAAGTCTCTTACACACATGACATAATAAAAGTAAACCTAACCGAGTACAATTTCACTGCACTGGTTAGTCGCAATTACATTCTATTAATAGATACCAACTAGACGAGAGTACACGATGCTTTCATATCAATTGCACTTAATATTTTACGACATGACAACAATCAAAACTTGGACATATGAATTTGCTTTTTCTACGACAAACGACTAAACCATCGATAGTCATCGTCATTTAATCAGTTAATTGGATTTTGACGAGTATACTTGTCATAAAGAAATGACAGAATTTGGTGTCATGACGAATTATATCCGTTATTAAGTAAAATTTTATTACACTTTGCTATTTAAATTGTAATTTTGTGTGTGTGTGTGTGTGTGTGAAAAATTAAACATATTTTCAAATGTCAAGATTAGTTAGAACAATTTTTAAGATTTGTAAATTACTATTTTGTTTTTATTTGAACAATTCATGTTATTCTCGTAAATGAGTAATTTTAACCACAAAACATCGACGTCATTGGTCGATTTTAGTTACATACAGCGGTGCAAATTTTTCAAAATGGTGCTCCACAGTTAACTGGTTAAATATTCGACTGGTTTAATATTCAAATATTAAAATCGATATTTCATTAAAAAAAGAAAAGTTGATCTCTTTTTTTTATTATAGTTATCGGGGGGTCTGTTAGATCGTAATAATTTTACAACGATCGAAGGAATTGAAATTTGTAATTTGGATGAAACAGTTTAAATATACAGTTTCTATATATACATTCATAGAAAGATTTAATAATTATCTTTCTTCCCTTTAAACGAGATCGAATCTTTCAAACGCATAATCCTCGTGCTCAATCGTCTATTTTATTTAACAGGTATGCTTCGCGGAAATCGTTAAAGCGGACCAGATACGAAACGCCGAGTCTTCATTTGAATTGTAAATGTATTCGTAAATGGATAATTGGTGTGATCGTTACATCTCGTAACAATCCTACGGATTTATTCGCATTATAGTACGTCTTCGTTGATTATTCAACTGAAAATGTTCATATTTATGGAGGTAAAGCATATTATCTGTGTGTGTTTGTGTGTGTGTGTGACGATTAAAGAATCGAAAAATTATTGAATTATTTTATATTTTCGAATATATGGTAAAAAAAAAAAAAGAACCTTTTTAACAGATGATTATGTGAGTGAAACAAATATACGTAATCAAGCTTGTTTACAGTTTTCATCCGTCTATGGTTTCTATGAATAGACGAGAGGGAGTCGAATGGACTTCATTTTTCATTCAAGATATCAGAATTGGTACAATCGTTGGAAAGAAACGAGGGTAGGAGGTCGAACGAGAGTTTCTATTTTTCTCTTCCTCCCTATCTTTCACTCTCTCATTCTCTCTTACTATTATCTCGTGAAAAGTACGGAAAATTTATCGCATTAACAATATGAGACACACACACACACACACAAAATAGGCATTTACGATTAATTTAATGATTCTGATAAAACAAGGCATCCTTTGTTTCCGGTGGTCAATAGTAATCAAAGATTACGCGGGGATGATCCCTTAAAACGTATTTTTCTAAATAAACACGTGCGATTTATCGTACTTCACGTGTTCTTTCATTCCCATCTCACATCAGATCAAATCTACAATTTTCATATTTCAACGATTCAAAGATCTTCTAATCTTGGATGACACTTACACTATCAATATGATAATTTATTATACGAGTAATAGAATATAGATTATTTTGTATTTTCTTAACAGACTAATTTATTACGATATTTATAAACACTTTGAAAAAAAAAATTCAAACGATTGATCAACAAACTACAAATTATCTCGACATTTATTTATATTTTTTTTTTTTACTATATATATTTCAAATTATATATATATATATATATATATTATTTATATTTTTATATATTTCTTTTTATTTATACTATATTTTTAAATTAATTCTTTGCAATATAATATGCAAAACCATTTAATCTCTATGAGAAAGTATATGTGATAATAATAGGTGATCAATCATAAATAAAAATAAGAGGTTTTACCAAAACTACAATATAATATGACATAAATAGCAATTTAAATACAAAAAACAAAAAAACAAGATTGCAAAGATGCGAAAGCATTCTCCCCTACCTCTTCCTCCTGGATTCCACCTTTAGCCCCGATTGCAATTTCTTGTCAATAAGAGAGAGGTAGTCAAAATAAAAAGGAAGAAAAAGAAAGAAGAAAAAAGAAAAATACTTAGTTAGGAATAGTAATATTAAGGTCCTCTGTCAACGTCAAGCAACCCCTTCCAATTGATTTCTGCAATCGGTGTGCACGCGTTTGTCCACCAACAGGCATGCTCTTCTTGTTTACCCCCTCTCTCTGTCTCATGACTCTCTTGGGAGTCTGTAAAATCTGGAACAAGAACCGCGTGGCGAGACGAACCGGTACCAGTGCCACCGAGAGAGTCGGTAGCAACGGATCTCTTCTCAACAGACGATTTTAGTTTGTCTCACGTCGTTGGTGTCCCTACGTATTTCATCTTCCTGTAAAGAAGACACGAAGAGGAAGCAAGAACCAACAAGAAGAACAACAACAAGAGGATCCCAAAAGTTTCATTCATCCTTTAAACACTTCACTTCTGTCTTTTTTACCAATACGGAGGAAGATAATCTACGAAGAAGATAACACAAACAACACATTATTCAAGAGAGGGAGAGAGTAACAGTGACAAGATCGAGATATTGTACACATCGAATAAGAAATATTATTTCTTTGGTTTTAAATTTACAAAGAAAACCAAAACAAATAGTAATAATAATAATAATAATTTATATAAGAAAAATGACGTCGAGAAAACATTGGTCG